CACTTTAGTAGAATATGTTTTATAAAAATATTCCACAATACACAACCGTATTCTAGAGGGAGCCGAACCAGACTAATAAATAAACGCTTAGTCATATAAGGATCGTCAAATTCTTTAGACTATAGTTTTATATAACCCAGCAGTGTCCTGGCTTTATTTACACATGAAGCAGTATGTAAACAAGAACGCAATTTGTTGTCTAAAATTACGCCAAGATCAACGAATGAATCTACATTGTCCAATTTGTAAGAGCCAATGAGGTAATAACTATTAAAAATTAACTAAACAAAGACAGTTTTTTACATTTCTTGAGATTAAGCGAAGCAATTTACAAGAGAGTAGAATGAGAAAGAAAACAATTTTCGATTCTCTGTTCCAGAACCTGCAAGAGTCCACTATTTTTGCATTTTTTTCGATATCAGAAAACTGAAATTGGTAATCATAGCAAAATCATATTATTCTTGAGAGGCAAGCGGATGACTACAAGTTCTGCAATAAAAATGTACACACCAATTCTGTTGTAGTCACACACAATTGACTTATACCCATTTTGACATTTGTCAAGATGTTGGAATGCAACTAATTGGAATTGGGTATAACAACACACATAGCATACTGACTTTTGCCCATGTATTCACCCTAATAAAAATATTTGTTTTCATTCTGTCTTCAGTGAACATCTCAAGGAGTTACAAACAAAATTACAAAATGAATATGTCCACAATTTCATAGAGGGGGCTTTAACGAACAACAATTGTATTTATAAATATGTGTATCAAGCCAAGTATGTGCATGTAAATATAGTGACACATACATCTGTGGACATTAAAATGGTTTCAATACTTATGACTCGTGGAAAAAACCCTAAAAACTTTTTGCATACAGTTACACATTTTTATACCCTCCACCAAAGTATCAAGGGTACATTAAGTTTGTTAATCCGTTTGTAGCACCTTCAAATATATATTTTAGATTGCATCGTTTCGTTAGTTTTCGTTCGCTGGTTGGCATATCATATCTAGGACCAAACATTAGGAAGATACCTCCCGATGTTCGAGAGATGGTAATACATTCTACATCCTGTGATAGAATATTGTCTATATAGATCCACGTTTTTATATAGCCTCCATATCACCGTACCTCATGGTGTTCAGTATTTCAAAGATATAAGCCACATGTTCAACGGCACTGTTTCAAATTTGATTGTTGATGTTCGCAATAGATATCAACCTATAGCCCCCATATAACAGCACCTCCCAATATGCGGTATTTTCAGGATTTTAAACAATTTTTGTAAGGGATTTGTTCAAAATACGGTACTTCCCGATATGGTAACGGTACTTCGCGATATCGGGAATATTCATGATTTTTGCCACATTTTCAATATAATTGTTTCAAATTCGCTTCTTGAAACTCACAATCTATACCAACCCCTGTTCTGCTACAAATTGTCTATATATCTTCATTTAACATTGCCCTTGAATTTGTAGCAAATTTTCCAACCGAGTTCGCTGGGATTTTCCGTTTAAAATGAAGCTTAATTTAAAGCTTTTCTTCATCCATTGGGATGGGTATTGAGTGTTCGCCCCGGTCGAACTTAACGTGTTTCTACTTGTTAACATTATCGATAATATAAGATAAAGTGTTGTTATGACTTCCCTGTATGAGGAAACATCCTTGCATATAACTGTCCATATAGGTCCAAGTTTTGATATAGTCCCCATATAACCGTACCTCCAGATATTCAGTATTTTGATCATTGGTGACATATTTTTCATCGCAATTTTTCAAATTTGGTATTTGGAGTCCATAATAGGTACTACCTCCTATGATAGACCATTTCCTGTACAGATCCACGCCTTCGTATAACTCTCATATGACGACGGTATTTTGATGATTTTAGATACATTCCGAAAAGACAATCCGAAATTTTTAACGGAAGAATTTTTATATTGTGCAAGTTTTTTTCCAAATGATGGATATTGAAAGTTTGGGCCGGACACACTTAGCCGCTTGTTGACGTGTTTTGGAATATCATCGATAAAAAAATCATTATAATTTATAAATTTTAATTACCCTCATCATATTAGCTGAACGTATTTCGGTAACATTCATATAAAAACTGTTGTTTAAATTGTGTGGTGTATCAGACCGAGGTCGAATTTTAGGTAATGCTTACTGCTTGAGTTCATATTTCTATGGCTTCTCGGACAACCTTAATTATGTTTTGCGATAATTTACTGCCATATTTTATAATTTAAAAGTGTACATAGACTTTAAAATACTAATAACATTTTGGATGTGCCAATGACAATGCTCAGTTCAGCAAGATCTTGTTGCCGCAAGATATGGACCATGGAAAAAATCGACCAATCACATGGCGAAACATCACTCATTAAAGACCCTATCTAGTAGCGCCGGTCAAAACTTTTCATGTCGCCAACAAATAATAACACAGAACAATGTGTACTCAAAATCATAATGGGTCAGTGGGTTCGGGGGGGCATTCGACAGAGCAGGGTTGCGACGAGGATTGTGTTTATACCTTCTCTTGATTCCATTTGACTAGTATTGGCAACTTGCGGTTGTTTCGACTGAATTCAGCTATAAATTAGATCCAGGCTGATTAGAAGGTTGAGGCACATTAAAGCAGGAACGGTGCATGGAACGGTCTGTACACCCTAGAGTTAAATAGTTTGACATTGTTTTTTTAAAATATTTGTCTTCCGATTCGCGAGCTTGAAAAGTTTGAAATTTAAAACTGTTCAATAGAATTGTCTAGCAATCGCTCTTATACACTGTATTGCTTACATTGAGTAAAATTTTAACTGGAGAGGAATTTCATAATCATAAACCGATGTAAAGCGATTTTTAACATTTTATATTTAACATATTTGTAGGAGACTTTTCAATGCGTCTAACAATTATTTAACCTTTTCCAAACGCTATATCATATGATGTACAATGCTGTGTACTAAGCATATATAAAATTTATACTATGACTTTTCTTACGGATAACAAATTGTGTGAAGCGCCTTAAAGTAGCTTTAAATTTGACTTGAACATTATGGCCGGTTATTACATCTTGCGGATAGATAAAAAAGCGATGTTGTCGGACACATAAATCGTTTTTCGTAATTACAAGTTTCATTTGAGCTTAAACTGTCCGATAAGCAAAAGGTCAGACCATCTTCCCTTTATCTTTTAACATAAAGTTTACTGAATTCATATTGCCATATTTTTATTGATAATATGACAACAACAGCAAAATTTATTTAATTCTTTTACAATCAAATCTATGACAGTTCTGGATTGCAGGAATGCTCTGGAAAAGGTTAAGACGTTTGTCAAACTCTCTTGGGTCCTTGGACACTGCAACATATCTGGCAATGAATCGGCTGATGAATTGGCCAGACGCGGATCTGCGTCAGAAGATCTAGAGATTGAGACCTCAGTGAAGCCACCTTTATGCCACTTCTTCCAAATACTGCATAAACATTACCTTGGGAGATTTTAACAGAACTGGCTAACATGTAAAGTCCTTCTCGTACTTTCTCCACAAAAATTTTCGACTTTCCTTAAATTTTGCACATTTCAATGGTTGGGAGATATAATTAGATATTCCAAGTTTGAACAGATTCACTGACATGTTTCGCTAGTTATGAGAGATATAAGTATTGAACATTGTGATCCTTTGTTGGGGGAGGTACCAGAAGGGGTAGGCCGATATCTATCATGTACACACCATATTTTCTGTTAAAAAAATATGTGTGGGATTGGAGGAGATTCGAATATTAATTTTGCATTTCATGAGCGTTTTGTTATTCAAAATTTCAACCTCTTTGCGGGGGAGGTACCAGAAGGAGTGGATCGATAAATACCATCTACACCCAGATCAGTTCATGACATAAATAAATATGCCGTTGAAATTTGTGCTTTGTGTAATAATAACAAGGTAACTGCAAGTGCTAACAGAAAGGTATTGACAGAAAAGTATCCAGGTCCATATCGTGGAAAAAAGCAACATCCCCTTCAAATTGCATATATATATATAAAGTATTCTACATTTTGCAATATACATAATGTAGTGTCGCTTTTCCTTTACCATGAAAATAGTTTCAGCGCCATTGGGGCTACTGCAATTATAAAAGTGTTTTTTTTTTTTCATTATTCAATAAAACATTCTCACGTTGTCCTGCAGTAATATTTTGTATTGAAAAATTCTATCAATATTATCAAGAAATTAAATCACAAAACGTCATATCGAATTTGACACTAGTATTACTATAGAGTCCAATCTGCTGGGGTTTGCTGCTACCTGTAATAATTATACCATGTTGTTTTTCTTTCAAATTGTTCTATAACAAGACTTGCTGATACCTTACATTTTAGGAAACCATAACCTGAATAATTTGAAAAAAAAAAAAAAAAAAACAGATAATAACGAATAATAATTTAAAAATTGATTTCTGTTTGCAAATTTCATTTTTGTGCAATAAAAATCCAATAAACAACCGAAAAGAATCCAATGAGTATTGGTTCGTCGTTGTCTCAGAATTGGCGCTTTCTCACTGTGGTTTTTGGCAATTCCAACTCTTGAACCCACGCCAATGTACGCCATCCTTTCGTTTGCCTTCACATTTGCAAACGCTCTAAGATATACTGTTACAATTCCATGGGTACTTGGCGCGAATGCTTTCTTGCCATGTATTTAGTTTAGGCTGAAATTCGGACGAGTGCAGACGACCATCAGGCTGGCTGGTCGTGCCGTGATGGGGTTTTTAATTGAGCATCAGAAATTCGAAGGAGAACAGTAAATAGATAACATTACATTGCAGATAGATGCGCGATTGATTTTTATTAGATTTTAATTACTTATGCATGACCGCACAGATACACAACCTCATATTCATATCTTGATGCATAAACACAAACATACACATACATTCCTACGTACAGACGAAAACAATGTTTCTAATTCATTGCATATATAATTGCAGGTGTGTTGTGGTAGCAATTATTTTAGCCATCCTCTGTGCCTACTCTCTGTGGAAAAAGCGTCGAACACTTTGCGGCTGGGGCTTCAATGAACACCATGCACAATCTGAAGGAGACTCGGCTGGCTCGTGTTACGCACCTCCGCAGTACAGCCGTTGTAATTCGTTCCATCATCCCCCGCCACCCTATACCGAGGTAAGTGCTCATAAATAGTCAAGGTGTTGCTGGAAGACAAACAAATGCTCGTTACTCGCATGCCCACCTGAATGCACTGCAGTTCAAAGGACCAGATCAAGTGTAGCCATTAGCAGGGAAATTATTCATTCGTAACAACAAAATAACTGAATAACATACATACCCTCATACATATGTACGTAGATGCATTTTCCAAAACGAATGTTGAAATATTGGAGGTGGTTGTGTTAACAACGCTTCAAAGCGTTGTCAAGTGGCGGTAGTTTGAAAAAATTTTGCATTTTTACCAAATCACAACAAATTGGATTCAGTTATTTATCGAATTCGAACGTCTTCGTATAATTACTTAAGTGTTTACAGCTATGTATACTTTATCAGGTCACTTATGACACAAATTGTGGCTGTCAAAAGTTTTGTTTGAGAGGAGCCCATCAAAAGTGAAATAAAAGAGAGGGCATATAAGCTTGGAAGGCCAGTCAGTCAATCTGACAACTAAGTTTGCTGTCAAATGACATATTGTGATTTGAAATTCAAATATTTAATTTGGCTCACAATTGTGCAAAAACTGCTAAGTTTATTATCAAATTGTTGTCAAATGTAGTCTTCTTTGCCGATCTCATGGTACAATAAAAAAGTACCAGCTGATTATAATTTTTTTCTAAGTGTGCCCGACTTTTGTGTAAAAAAAAAAAAAAACATTTTCAAAACCAATGATTGGAACACACGTACATTACGGCTCGCACATTAAAGCTTTTAACCAGTTTAGGCATAAAATTGAAATATTGAACAGTTTGGATCATATTTTTTAGAGAAAATCCGGGTATTTCATTCATTTTTCGCGCCATTTTAACTCATTTTAAAAATGAGGAAAATATGAAAAAAATGAAAACATCTTGTTGTATATAATTTTGAATGTGTCTGACAGGAAGCGGGCATTTCTGTAGTTGGCCGATCTTATATAGGCCTTGGTAGGACTGTTTATGTACGACAATACCGATCTGGGAAATAAATAGAGGTATCGAAAAAAATCATTCGAAATATGCATTTTAGCTTGATTAATTTAAAATTATCAAAACTAATGAAGGATACAGCAGCTTGGCATAGTTGCATGGAATACTAATGTCAAAATTATTCCATGCGATGAAACTAAGCAGCTTATGTATCCTCACCTTTAGATTTTGTGATTTAATATCCACAAAAATCCTCTATACCAAATTATACCCTCCAACATAGTGTGGAGCATGGTTCAATAAGAAAGGATGCTCAACTTCAAATAGACTTTTAAATATATAAAAGTTGGTTTTGTTTATTTTTTATTTTTTTTTTTTAACAAAATTCGTATATTGGGAGAGATCCTCGAACAAGAATGAAATGTTGGATTTAATCCACAACATTGAATCTAAAATAGTAGGAAAATACAATTTTATCCCAAAGTCGTACAATGAGTTGTATTTAGGGGGTAGCTTTGTTCTACCTTCTGTAATTGTGCAATTGTATATTAAGTTTGTCATTCCGTTTGTAACACCTCGAAATATACACTTTAGACCATATAAATTTTTATATATTGAAATCGGTTGACGTATGGATATAGCTCTTATATATATTTTGTTGGTTGATTTTACGTATTTGATGCACCAAACATAATTTGATGCGCCGAACATAAATTTTTGAATTTATATTGAAATCTGAAACAGATTTCGCCTATGTATTTGATGCATCAACACGCTATGTATGTCAAATTTCAAAGAAGTTTGGAATTTGTAATGGAGTTCTAACTAGACTAAAAGTAAAAAAACTACATAACAACATAATTGAGGCTACGAATATTATGGGGAAGTATGTAGTGCGAATCCCTCCAATAGCCACAAAAATGCAGTTTAACTTGTAAGATTGCAGTTTCCTATACAATTCACAATTGCTGTGACAATTTATAAATTCCAAGTCAAACTCTTCGTGTATGCGGACTAAATTTAGCATGTTCCTGCCGTTCTCATGGTCAGCTGTACGTGGAATGTTCACGTGACCCATCGATTTATATGTTTACACTCCTAAAGGAAAAAGTGTTGCGAGATTCGTACCTGCATCTGGTAACTAAAAGTATTTTTTTTTTTTTTTTGGAAATGAAAATAATTTATTTAAAATCTAATCTACAATCCGTCTCGACATAGCGGGGAATATGTTTTTTGACAATAAAAAAAAATATTTTTGTGCGAAATATAAACAAACAAAAAAAAAAAAAAAACTAGTCAGGTTAAAGGTCTCTTATGGATCGATTTCGATTTTGGTCTTGATTTCATCGTTATATTTGTGTCTTACAGAACCCCACAGATTAGAAACCCGTCTTCACCTTTTTGTATATAATAATTGGATTGGATTGGTGTTTGGATAGGAATTGAGTGACAATTAAGACAATGAGATGGTATAAAGCTCTTGCGCAACTGAGCGAGAAAAACCACAAAATAGAGTAAATCACAATTCCTTAATTTCGTTTTGAATTTGCAATTTTACAAATTTATATTTTTGAAATATTTAACAAATAATAAAGCAAATTCGAATTATGTTGACAGCAAATGTCGGTATCAGTTGGTCTTACTTGTCGACCTTATAATTGGGCCATGTTGTTACCCATGTAAGAACTAAAAATGTAAAGCCAAGCAATCATATGCTTACAATTTTTCCAAATTTATACATTTGACAACATCTCATTGTCAAAATCTATATTCATAAATCCTTTGTATAAACATAAAATTAGAGAGGGGAAATGTTTTTTTTATGCAATGAAATTTGGCAAGGTAAATTACAGAAAATGCAGATCTGGGAATGCTTATTTGAAAAGTGGTTACCTTTTTTTCATTGTACCATGCTCTTACCCAAGGTGTATTTACAAGAGGACACGGTAAGGCAAGCTGAAGTCAAAACACAAATTTTTCAAATTTAAAAAAAATGTAAAGTTTTTTTTTTGATCAAAATATACACGTACAATATTGAGATCTAAAATTGCTAAAATATTGTCTTGAGTTTTCTTCCATTTTGATGGATTCTACGCAGAACAATTTTTGACAGGAAAAGAATACTGAACTCGGAATTCGCCTCCTGTGTGACCATATTAACGTAACTGACAATATTACCCTATATTCTGCCATTAAAGGAGACATATGTTCTGTTCCAGATCCTACAAGAATGTAAAAAGTTTACAATGATAACCGTTATATCATTAATGAGGTTCTAGAACACTGCATATGATTGTTAAACATTCATTACATTTTTTTATGGGAATTGAAACATGTTTTAACCAAATGTCATAAAATTGTTTTGACACAACTACATTTTGCGAGTTCTCAGTATAAAAAAAGTAAAAAAAACTCTCTACATTAATTAAAAATGTATATTCCATAAATTTATACCATTAATCCATGCCTATGTATACAACATGTATACAGAGTATGCCCTGAAAAAGGAGACTAATTTGACTTCTACACAAAACAGTGGTAATCTTTTTTTTTTTTCTTATTCCCAGTTTTGATCACGACAATGTTCATATTAATAACGATAACTGAGCACATTTATTCAAAACAACTTTATGTCTTTCCAACAATGAACAACTCATAATTAAAAAAAAAAATAAAATAACATTCTTTATTATTTTTATTTCAGGTGACATCGAAACCAGATCTCTACCCGTTGGTGTTCACCTGCAATAGTGATAATGGTAAAAATGGTTCCAGCTATCTAATGGTACAATATTTTCGCAATTACATAGTGCGTCCGGCCGGATCCCTGTCGGCGGCCAGCACAGTAGATTCGCTTAGCTCTAGTTTTATATGCAACATTAACGAAGCAAATACGCTTGTACCGCCGCCGTATTCGAGGGCAGCCAGTCCTGAGATTGGTTTCAGTTCACACTTTCAGCAGCAGTATATGATGCCGCGCTCCGCATCCCAGCTGGTGTGCCAAAATGTCAATAATGGAAATTTTATAGGGGCCCCCGGCAATGCAACCGCAACTGCGGCCAGTGGGAATGGCCAATTTGAATTGAGCAATAGTTCTCAGATGTATAGTGGCCGTTCGACCAGCACACATTACGCCACCGTTACGGTCAATGCAACTGTGAACCGTATGGCCGCCAACAGTACGACTGGCGATCGCAGTCGGGAGAGAACTACCAATTTCAATGGAAATCAGCACGGTTTTGAGAGCAGCCTGTCCTACGATGATGCGACTGAGAACGACGAACGCACAAACGATAATATTAATGCCAATGTGATAAATTGTAGTAGTAGTAGCAACGACATACGCGTGTTGCCCAATAGCAGCGGATTCGCGCAATCGCAAAGTGATCAGCATTTCCGATACATAACGAACAGCAACAGCAGCATTAGTGATATTTTTGTAAACAACAGTTGTGCAGCGGGAATTGGAGGCGGAGGTTCGAGTAGAGTCAACAGGTCGGAGAATTCGTCTATAGTGGGCTCCGTGTCCGGCGCTGGTGCGGTCGTGCATCCCCAGACAGGCGGGACACCTGTGATCTACAGCAATGGATGTATAAAACCCATTCCACTGCATCGAGCCAGCACAAACCCTACCCAATTTCATGTGGACCCCTCATCGAACCGGGAGACAGTACTGTATCAGTCGAACAACTCAATAGGTGGTATTTCAATAACAGTTCCTACTGGAATCGAAGATTCGTCAGTTCTTTGCAATGACAACGAAATTAGAGACTTGCAACTCTTGAGAAGGAGCTTGGAAACTTGCTGTCAACTCCTGCAACAACAGCAAAAGCTTCCTTCGGGCAATTTCGCTTTGGGCGAATCTCCTCTCCGCATGAACGAGCTGGCCAAGAAGTACATAGACGAGGGTCTCCTACGTAGCTATGTGACCTCGGGAACATGTTCTGGCGTCAGTAGTCTAGCCAATATAGGCACGCCAAGTTCCCCGCCTCAAGCTACCAGCCCCACGGGCGAAGTAAAGGAGATTCTCGATCAAATTCGACAACTGCAAGAGGGCGTTACAAAATACGAGGAGGACTTAGCTTTCCGGGCTGTTGGTCGACCAATTCTACACCACACTTTGTCTTCACCGGCCCCGTCGGCAAATAGAAATGCGGCGCAAACTGCAAATGTTGGCGGAAAGCTTCAACGCATCTCCACCATGCCCGAACAACAATCATTAGCTGAAGCCGCCAAGGTAAACGTCTTAGTTAAGTCGTCGGTGGCAAATAACTCTCCCACTAACTCACTCACCTCAGTACCGTCAACCTCGTCAGTCCTGGTGGGGACGCAGCCATCCAGCAAACTCACGATTAGCAAAACATCGCTAAATGGCAGCGGTAGTTCAGCGGTCCCTAACAGTAGTTTTATCTTTTCTTCGTCATCGAAACGACCATCAACGCTCCAACATAGCAAAAAACGCTTCTATACATCGAAACCGCCCAACAAGGCCATGTACATTCCTATGATGGCCACGAATCAGGTACCATCGGGCAGCCGCTGTACCATCCTGAAGAGTCCCGTGACCAGCGTAGTAAATTCGAACTTCTTTACGAGCCGTGGCAACCGACAACGCAAAGGTTGGATCTCAAGATCTGCTCCAACAACTCCAGCAACACCGTTACCTCCCAGCTACATGGACGATGACAGTCCTCTGTTGAATGAACACGACGAGGATCAAGAGGCCGAGCAAAATGCGGAAATGGAAATTAATGCGTCTGTCAACCACGTCGAATAAGGCTCTTGAATAATAGCACACCATAAGGTCCAAAATGAATAATAATAGTCACACTTCTATGTTTTAAAATAAATTATTGTAGATGCATGGTTTTTAGATTCTCTTCACGTGCAGAATTATGAATATGAGCAAATTGGCTCTCCATTTGGCTACGTAGCTACATGAGCGACAAACTCAAAATACTCCAGATCACGGTCGACCAAAAAGAGAGAGAGAACAAATGAGTATCCAAAAAGTAACTTGATTACGAATGAACAAGTAAAAAAAGCAGTAAGTTCGGCCGGGCTGAACTTTGAATACCCTCCACATTTGGAAAGAATTTGGAAATTAAAAAAAAAAAAATCCCTTAAAAATTCCGATAAATCTTAAAAATACCTAATACATCCGTTATATTGGGGTCTATACCAAAGCGTGGACCTGCATAGAAAACTTTTGTCATAAGCCATTAAAATATTCAAATACGAAACTTGAAAAATAAGATCCGGTGAATAATGTAGCTAAAATCATCAAAATACAGAATGTAGGGAGGTACCGTTATATCAGGATATACGAAGACCTGAACCTGTATAGACAATTTTCTGTCACAAGCTGTAGTACCTATTAGGAACTTCAAATACGAAATTTCAAACAATTTCGGTCGTCGAAATGCCGAATATAGGAAGGTACTGACATATACGAAGACCTGGGCCTGCATAGACAATTTTCTGTCATAAGCTGTAGTTCCCATTACGAACTCTAAATACGAAGTTCTGCATATTGGGGGGGGGACCGTTATATGGAGGCTATACGGAAGCATAAGCAATTTTTTCTCATAGGCTGTAGTACACATAAAAATTCTAAATACGAAATTGTCAAAATATCGAATGTCGGGGATACCGTTGTATGTGGGCCATTGAAAAATATAGCTAAAATCATCAAAATACCGAATATAGGAAGGTACCGTTATATAGGGAATATACGATATCTTGGAACTATATATACAATGCTCTTCCATGGGGTAAACTACTCAGAAGGAAATCCTCTTGTGGATTTTCAGACAATTTAATTGAAAAGTTAGGCAACAATCATCAAAATACCGAAATAGGGGGGGGGGGGTGGTTGTACCCTTATATGTGGGCTTAACGATATCCTGGACCGATATAGCCCATCTCCGAGCTTGATCTGCCTGCAGATAAAATATTAATCTGTGCAACATTTTAGCACAGATCTGTACATGTTAATTTGCAATCACCTTACAGGTCGAAATTGTGGCCCGATCCTCAAGAAATAAATCGCTTCTTTACTTTTCGAACCATTTCTGCTGATGTTGCTGTTTTCTTCCGTCCACTTCTTTGAAGTCGGGCTACGCTACCAGTGTCACGGTAACGAGCGATAGTACGAGACACAAAAGATTTATTCACATTTAAATTCTGGTGCTTTAGCGATAGCCACTTGTGTTTTTCCAGACAAATATAAAGAAATCACACTATCACGCTTGAATTCCATCACGAATAACTTTTTTCTCGAAAATTCTCACCAAAATGCTTTTATACGCTTGTAAACAATAAGTGAGCTGTCACTGGAATAACAGATGTCGGACGAGTGGCTTAGAAATGACAGCAGTCTAAAGTTGGTTGCAGTTTTTTCATCTTACCCTGTATATGTAAAATAAATATATTAGTCATTCTGCTTAAAAGTCAAGAATCGCTGGACTGATTTTCACAATTCTCATAAATTCGGAATGGTATCTTGCCAGAAAAGGATAAGACCTAAGAAAATCGCGTAAAAATGTGCCAAAAAAAAGTGAATATTTTTCTTACACTTTTTCAATTTTTGTCATATTTTTACAATTTTAATTACACATCTTTTAAAGTTTTTCTACACTCCGCGACACTAGTTATTGAGGGTATTATACAGGTCGCAATTATCATCCGATCCTCAAGAGCCTATTGTATTTGAAGATGTACATTTAGGGGTTCAAATGGACCAAAAAAGGGCGCTTGCGACATATTGTAGTGTCGTAGGGTATTACATGGTCGGCCCCGTACGACAATAGCCTTTGCTTAATTGTTTATATTGTTTATACGTAATGCCCATCTGTGTTATTTTTACAGAAAATTAGATACTAAAATGGAGATACGACAAAGCTCACATAAAAATGCATGCAGGGGAGTGACTTGTAAAGTTATTCAAAACGATTCAACACAAAGTCCAAAACATTTGTTTTATGCTTGTCGTGTGCATTTGGGACGTATATGTGTGAACAGCCGAAGCACTTTGTCGACCGTGCTCTGGAATGAGCTCATCTGCTATAAGATTTCTTTTCAGGATGGAACGGTTTGATTGGTTTAGGATTAGGGGAAAGACTTACATAAAAAATTTTACTCGTGATCATATTTGGTGTGTTCCAGAACCTGCAATTTTCTTCGATATCATAAAGCAAAAATCGGTTATCTTGCAGTTCTGGAACAGACTTATGTGGCGTTTCCACTACACTTGATTCGCTCTCTATTCTTTGTTCGACCCTTAACTATGAAAAAAACTACCTAATTCTTCACACAAAATTTCCTGAGCGAACACTCATATTTGTACGTTGTTCAAATCAAATCACTCTCAGAACAACGAAAAAATATGTCCCATCCCTAACAAATGAGAGCATTTATCGAAAAAATAAATTATGACACTTAAAAATTATAAATAGAAAAATTTAATGAAATTTTAAAAATTTTTGGGAAGACTGAAAATTATGTATGAAAACTACAATGTTGAATGGCGTATGTACATTCAAACGAAAGTAAATTTTGTTTTCTCTCTCATTCGAGGTACGCATTTGGTCCACGAGTTAAAATTTCTACAGAAAACTGCAAACAAAATAGTCAATATTTTCAAAATGTTTCTATCGGCAGAAAAAATGTTTGACAAGTGTCTCTTCAGCAGAATTTAAAAATGGGAAAACACAAAAATATGTTCAAAATGTCAACATTTACACAAAAAGTTAGAGACGTGAATGAAAATTATAAAATTAATGTTATAATAAATCTTTGGGAGAAAAACAATAATTTCTTATATTCATATTAGTGAGAATTTCATGTATTTTCGTATACATTCCCTTTAAAATCAACAAACAATTTTTTTGAAAAAAGGAATTATTTTACTATGAATTACGAATCGTGCCGTATGAACGGGTTAATTCGTGTACCTAATTCTGAGAGCGAACAACGTTGTTCGGTTTCCAATGGAAACATGCTATCAGAACTACGATGAAATATGTGCCATCCCTAACAAATGAGAGCATTTATCGAAAAAATAAATTATGACATTTAAAAATTAAAACTAGAAAAATTTAATGAAATTTTAAAATTTTTTTGGGAAGACTGAAAATTATGAATGAAAACTACAATGTTGAATGGCGTATGTACATTCAAACGAAAGTACATTTTGTTTTCTCTTTCATTCGAGGTACACATTTTGTCCCCGAGTTGAAATTTCCACAGAAAACTGCAAACAAAGGAGCAATATTTTCAAAATGTTTGTATCGGCAGAAAAAAATTTTTGACAAGTGTCTCTCCAGCAGAATTTAAAATTAAAAAATACAAAAATATGTTCAAAATGTCAATATTTACACAAAAACTTGAAAACATGAATAAAAATTGTAAAATTAATGATATAATTATTATTTGGAAGAAAAACAATAATTTCTTCTATTCATATTAGTGAGAATTTCATGTATTTTTGTATAAATTCCCATTCAAATCAACAAACAAAATTTGTGAAAAAAGGAATTATTTTACTATGAATTACGAATCGTGCCGTATGAGCGGGTTAATTCGTGTACCTAATTCTGAGAGCGAACAACGTGATTGAAAGTGTAATGAGAACATAGCATTATTGTCTATAAAAATTTTATTTGATTAAATATAGTTTCTGGTTCAACGAAATTAGCTTTAATGTAATATTTGGAGCAGACAACGAAACGGAACGATTTTCGATGTTTTTTTCAATTTTTTGGTGGATTTATTGCGATATAGCTTTTGACAGCAAGATAACGTCTTGGTCTAAATTCGCCTCCTGGGTGAAATTATAGATAAGCTTTACATCGATGAGGGCAAGGTAAGGCAGAGCTACCATGGCATGGCAAATTTTATGCAATTTGTTTACAAAAAAAATATATATATTCAACCTCAGTGGCAACAATATTGATTCTTAAAAATTGAATCTACCTGTAGCGAGACAGAACTGTCACTATCGGCAGGACTTAGCGACTACTTTATTTTGGTTGCTAATTAGCCGAAAATTTTCGTTAGTTACCGAATTTTACCGATAACACAAAAAATTAGTTAAAGAATTACACTACTGGTGCGCCTTGTAACGACTGTATTATCCTCCCACCTCTGATTTGGAGTTTTCGTTCGTACAAGAATAGAATTGGTATACCATTTGAAAAACTCCTGCCCATTTTGAATTCACTTTAATTTAAAATTTGCTATTACGACGATCAACGTTTTTAAACGATATGAAGAGATGTATCGACTTTTTTTTAATCGAAGAAAGAAATCGTAATTGTTCAGACTAGTACTACATTGTTATAAACTGATTATTTATTCAAGAATTTGCCGAAATGTTTGCCAACTTATTGTGTTGGGAACCCCATAAGAGACTAAAACAAAAAAGAAACATTAAAAAAATTATATTATTAATGAAAAAAAGCCAAATATGTTGATACAGAATTTGCGAATGGCAGGTAGGATTTTAAAATTTGTAAGCAGATTTTTTGACCACGTAGTTGGTCAATAATAATTCCAATATTAACTTTTCCCAATGTCACTGCAATAAACAATGTATATTGTTATTTTAAAAATATGATAAACAAACTTAATTTTCATTTAACGTCCACATAAACCCCAAAATAGCAGGACGAAATTTTTGCCGCTCTTTATATTCTTTTTGGAGGTCATAAGTGCAGAAATAATGGATTTACTCATCCCGATTTCTAAAGCACGAATGTAAAGCAGTGCTGTAAACAAATCGGTTCAGTGGTTCATACCATGGCATAATTACAGAAAGTAGGACAAAGATATCTTCTAAGTACAATTTTATTCCTTTGGTCAAAATATTTACATAGATTGTGTGTGTATTCTTGGCTCAATAAGAAAGGTTGCTAAAATTCAAAGACTCTAGGAAAAATGCAAGTCTGTACCAGATAGGGGGACAATGTTGTTTTATCTCAGAATTAAACATTTTGTGGAGCATGGAAAATATGCATTTCTGTTGTATCTAAATTTGTATGCTATAAGGAACTAATCATGGTATAAGAATACAGACATCAACTCTTGGGAACATTCATATTTCTAAAATTTTGAATGATTTTAAAAAAATATGTAGGTTTATATATGTTTCTTATACAACGCCTATCAGAGGTTGTTAAGATATCCATTTTTAAACATTTTTTACAAATTTGAATAATTTTTCATTCAAAATGTTCTATTTCAAAATTGGTTTGACAGTTCATTGTCCCAGCAGCTGTGTGCATTCTTCTACCATGGAACTACTAAAAAATGCGTTGTTTACATTGCGACATAAATTTATAATTCATAATTCCGACCCCAACCATTTCTTCTTAATTGAATTAATTAAAAAATTAATTAATTAATTAAAACTAAATTGAAAAATTGGCAAATAATTATATTCCGCAGGTATATTTGCAATACTTTTTACTGTACCACACTACAATGAAAATTTATTTAAGCAATTGTGTAATTCTTTACCAGGACGTATACCAATTTCGGTCCAATAAAAAATCCAGCAATCCAGTAATTGTGTTGTGATTTAATTAAAAATTACCCAACAGATGATGGATAATGTATGGCATTCTAAGTAAATTAAAATTGGGTATCACATAACCTTTTATACTAAAATCTCCCACTGGAAAAGTCATCTTTATCTATAAATTAGACTATTGCCAATTCCCAGTATTAATGTAAAGTCATGTATATAGTTGCATGTATATTAGTTACATGTACTTATACGACATCCAGTGGATTCTGAATGTCAATCTATAAACGTATACGTCAAATGAAATCCATTTTAGGAATTGGCAGTTAAGATCCGTGTCGTAAGTACGGAAACACTTTTATGCTATGTGAATATGCCAAGTTTCAAATTTATTTTAGATTATTGCAAAACAAGATTTGTTTGAGCATAGCCTGATGAAATTAGGGTGGAAATAAATAAATCGCATATTTGGCCGGCTTAAGTAATCGGCTGGCTTCTTCGTAGATGAACAAATAAGTTTTAGGTTGACTTAGTTCAATTTTGGCCCTAGGCTTCTTCGTTCATTTCAGAAGAAGTCAGCCGATGACTTAAGCCAGCCAGATAAGCGCTTTATGTATTCCCACCTTTACCTGTGGCATAGTAGAACCAATCGATTCAATCTCATTTCGTATCTCACACAAGAGAATGCTTTAACTGTTAGTGTAAATAGTGATAGTTTTTTTTTTTTTTTTTTTTTTGTTTTGAAGCCACATCATTTATGTTTTCAAACATGATAGCATAATTCTTTGTATCATATACATACTTGTATGCATGTATGAATTTATACATTAGTGTAGCAGTTCTTTTCTTCATTACAGTATTAAACAAGTATTAAACGATATTCAATATTGAAAAAAAAACGATTTAAATGAAGACACACAAACACACGCAATACTTATAAACATTACCGACCATGGTAGAAGAATATAGGTAGATGCATCAACGCTTGGGAACATTGAAATATCAAAATTTTTAAAGTGTTTTGTCAAAAATTAGTAGATTTTTATATGTTTTCTAATACGATGCAAATCGGAGGTTGTAATGATATGTATTTTTCAACAATTTTTACAAATTTCAATAATTTTTCATTCAAGATTTTCAATTCCAAAATCAGTTTAACAGTTCATTTTCCCAGCAGCTGTGTCGATGCGACTACCTGTATTCTTCTACCATGTTATCGACACAATACAATACACGCTTCACTACTGAAATGGATTAACTCAGTTTGTATCATTTAATGTGATTTCAATTTCTATATTCAACTCTACAAAGTTCGCTTCAAAATGTGTGTTTTAGGAAACAAAACCGATTATTTTCACTGACGAGCTTGGAAATGAATTGAATTTGTTGGATTCAATGTTTTTGGAAAATATTGGTTCCTAATACCTCCAGATTTTTTGAATCTGTAAATTGATTAATTAAATTAGAATACAGATATGTTAGCAAAAGAAAAAAACACATTTACGGAACATTGTGGTGTAGGTCGACTACAGCCTTTGCCAACTGATTCCTTGTTAGAATTAGTCAATATTAAATGTCATATGATATAAATTGAGATAAACCAAGAAAACACATAAACAATGTAAAACAACAGTGCCTTCATCACAATAGAATGAAAAAATGACAACAAAACAAACACTTTCTATATAGTTTACACTAAAGTAAGAATAGATCCGACGGGTCAAAGAACGAATGGTTAATATGTACATGTTTGATAAACGACAAAAACAAATTGAGATGCAAATCGCTTGTGAATAATTAAGGAATTGTTAGAATACACAAATGTACACAGACATTCTGATAGATAGTACATATGCACATGATAATATTTTTCGAAGTAATACATTGACTATACACAGGTACATATGTATATGCCAACACCAAAATACAGAAGCCATTCAAGTTCACATTCTAGATTGTAATTGGAAAGATTTAATTGAGCCATAAATTAGCAAAATAAGGAAAGTTCATTTTATTGCTGTTAGAATTAAAATGTAAGCTACATCGATTACAATATAAATATTGCATATACAAACATATATTAAAGAGTAATATCAAGTGCAATCATCAAAATAGATCCCAGTTCAAAGCTTCAAAGCAAAAAGATGCCAATATTCTGCAGAAGGGCTTTTAAAAATATAGTCATTTTCAAAACACTGGGCTAAAAACCTTGTGACATGAGCCAGAAAAACAGACAGAAAGCACAGCAAGCTCTTCACAACACGATCTTCCCCATATTTAATTGGGCGCCATTTTCTTTTTATTGTGTTGTCGCTTATGCAAGGTAATTGAATCATATGTTGCCAAGCCCATTTGTCGATATTTAATTACCCAGCAAAAGATTTAAACGAAGTGGTTGAGTAGGAAGTGATAATTAAGTATTTTTCCGAGCAGTTAATTCAGAGACCCTCTGAAACAAAAACAAACACAACTCATTTTCAAAAGCTTCAATTCTTGAATTCTACTTTAAAGAATTTGCTAACAAAACCGTTAATTTTTATTAATATTATTTTGTTGTTACCCGATTTTATTTGTAACAGCGTAACCTAAAAAATGTTTTGTACGTCCCAAATACTCCAGGTCCATATCTTAAAACCTACCACCAATTAACGTTGTAAAAATTGATTCCAATACAAAAACAAAAAAAAAATCAATTGTCAGTGTTGAAAATGTTCAACTTTGAAATTTTGTACGCCCGTCGTATTTTGGAAGCACTTATATGAGTACATGTTTTTTACTTGTGTGGTGAAAAACATCAACTGGGTACGTCGAATTTTAGGTAACGCTTTAAATAATAACTTTAAATATATAAGCAAATCTGTAATCAAATCACATTTTTTTAATACAATAATACAAAAAAACTGAAACTTGCGCGTTTCAATAGTTGGTTGATCTATTACGATGCAAACCACTTACTGTAATCATGTGCCCGATTTCCTGTGAAGCAAATATTAAACAAAACAAAATAGAAATTATTTAAATGTTCATTGTGTGTATTAAGATTCTTTCGTCAAATTTCTCGAATTTTTAAATTAGAGTTATAATTTTATTGCGAAATTATAAATTATTCTAGCTAGATAATAAATAACCAAAATAATTTAATTCCATTAAGGTTTTAATTAAGAAATAAGAAATCAAACAATAAATAAATGCTAATATATGAAATAAAATGATCAAATGTGTGTTTTCTGTTGTTGTTGGAATCGAAACAATCTTATGGAACGTTTAAAGTTCATCAAATTTGGTAAAGCCAATGGATTTCAAATGCATATACGTCAAATAAATCTTTATAAATATTGTCAATCCAAAAAAAAAAAAACTCTAATGCAATGATACGATCTTAATTTTCTATTTAAATGAATAAAAAAAGCCGTAATAACTGACATATTTTATTTCTTTCGTTCAATAAAGATAAAAAAGACGTACAATTGCTAAACGTTTTTATGGTTCTAAAACAAGTATTTAAAATATACAGGGTGAGATGAAAAACTGCAACAAAGTCAAACGCCATAATTTGACTTTTTTTTTTTTTTAAATTTGATTGAATGAAAGCAAACATCTTCGGAAGTAGCATCGAATTTTAGAATAAGTTTAGATTTGTTCGAATTGGTCACCTTTGGCACGAATTATGGCCTTCAAACGGCCAATGAAACCGTCACATGCTGCCCGAATGTTGCTCTGTGGTATTTTGGCCCATTTCCGGCGAAGTGCTTGCTTGAGGTGATCGACATTTTGGTATTTTTTAGTGCCAACCTTGCTTTCCAAAATAATCCAGACACAATAGTCCAACGGATTGGTATCCGGAGACTTTGGTGGCCATTGTGCGCTGGAAATGAAGCGAGGATCCTCATTTTGTAAACACTCTTGGCTTCCGCGTGCTGAGTCGTATCGGAATGTCCAATGCATGTGTTATTCTGATGGTACGGTCTATTAGTACGAGCGGAGAGCGGCCATCGGCTGTTATGGCGGCCCACACCATCATCTTGGCCGGCGCTTGAGTTCTAGTGGCCAACCGAAGGTGCACATTTTCAGCTGACTTCTTTGTTTGTTTACAAACTGCTGGACAACGAATTTTTTCCATCGGAGAAAACCAAATTCAGCAGTTCACCACTTTCGGCCAAGCGAAGCAAATCTTTAGCTCTTTTGAGTCTATTTTCTTTCTGTTGCGGTGTAAATTCTTGATCTTTTTGGAATTTCAATTGCTTTAACCCAGCTCACGAGCTAGTTTTCGGCCACTGCAACATGGGTTTCCACCAAGTCGCTTCTTTACTTTTCGAACCATTTCTGCTTATGTTGCTGTTTTCTTCCGTCCACTTCCTTTACGAACTACGCTACCAGTATCGTGGTAACGAGCGATGGTACGAGACACAAAAGATTTATTCACGTTTAAATGCTGGATTGCTCTAACGATAGCCACTTGTGGTTTTCCAGACAAATATAAAGAAATCACACTATCACGCTTGAATTCCATCACGAATAACTTTTTTTCTGGACTATTCTCGCCAAAATGTTTTTGTACGCTTGTAAACAATATAATGAACTGTCACTGGAATAATTTTAACATCTGTCGGACGAGTCTGAAGTGTGGACAACAGTCTGAAGTGTGGTTGCAGTTTTTTCATCTCACCCTGTGTATTCAAATTCAATGCAACAAGTTGTTTTGTTTATTTGATAATAAAACCAAGTTGTTGCATTTGTTTTGATAGTAATTCTGACATTACGATCCATTCAGATAGGCGTTTTTAGTTACAAAATTTTACAACCTAGCCTACGTTTTCCATGCATGAAAGGGTTTTTCGACTGGCTTAAGTCATCGGCTAGCGTCTTCGTAAAAGAACAAAGGAGTTTTAGTTTGACTTACTTCGATTTTGACCATACGCTCCCTTGTTTTTTTTTACGAATAAGCAATGCTAAGTTTTATGTGTTCTCACCTTAACATTTTCTACTATGATTGATTTAAGGAGATATGGTAAGGTTAGATTAGGTCGAAAAAGAGGGGCGAACCAATTCGCCGCAAGCCCTGTTGGGCATACACTTAAGCCAGTATAGGCCTGTTGTGCACTCTAGTCAGAGGGGTTTTACCGAGGAAGACGTGCAGTTAAACAGTCTGTTATAATTGAAATTCTGTTGCCTTTATGAAATTCTTTAACTGTTTTATATCATTTACCATGATCCGACTTAGGTCTGGTATAGTGTCGCTCCCTAAGAATTGGGCCCTGATATTTGCAAACGCTGGGCATATACAGAGAAAATGTTCCAATGTTTCGTCATCTTCCCTGCACGCCCTGCATATGCTGTTATCTGTGCAACCTATCTTGTATAGATGAGTTTGTAGGCCCAGGTGCCCCGTAAGGATGCCTGTCACCTCACTGATCTCCTTCTTGCCTACCAATAAAAGATTCTTCGTTTTTATCTCATTTGAGTCAACCCACAGGATTTTGGTGGTTTTCCCTACGCCCTCTTCGTTCCATGAGGATATATGGGCGTTTTTTGCCCATGTCTTTAACATTAGACGTGACGCTTTTAGCTGTAGTGGATTGTCTAAGCTTACTGCTGCCAATTCCCTGCCTGTTCTAGCGAGAGAGTTTGCTATTTCGTTACCTCTAACTCCGTTATGACCTGGTACCCATATAATGCGAACTAAGCCGTGTTGAGAGTAGTTGTTGATTGAGTTTATACATTCCAATACAGTTCTTGAAGTTACTGTTTTGGATGTTATAGCGTTAATGGCTATCTTACTGTCCGTTAGGACGTTTACGATAGCCGGTCTCGTGTTTGCATTTAACCAGTTCAGACACTCTGTAATCGCCCGGACCTTCGCTTGTAGGATCGTATTGTGATCGGTCAGGCGGAAAGAGATTTTGGTATTCGTTTCTTCGATAAAAAGACCCAGTCCTACTCTCTCCCCCAACACTGAACCATCTGTGTAACAACAATTACCAGTCGGCATCTGTGATGGGAATCCATCGATCCACAAGTTTCTGTTTGGGATTAATGTTTCACAATAGGCAGATACAATAGATTCAGATATCCGGTTCGATACAAAGTTTTCTATTGATTCTCCCGTTGTTACCTGTAAGATTCTTTGATGGTATGTAGCGTGGCCTTTGCTTATTCACTCGTCCGTCGCCCTAAGCCTTAAGGCCGCGACGGTTGCTTCATACCGAATCTGAATGTCTATCGGGTGAAGAAATAGTAATGTCTCTTGTGCCCTAGTTGGTGTTGTCCTCATTGCCCCGCAGATGCTTAAGCAGCACATTCCTTGGACTTTCAGTAGTATTTTAGTATTACACTTTCTATCCATGGCTGTCCACCAGACTATTGAAGCGTAAGTTAGAATAGGTCTAATCACGCTTTTGAATAGTCAGTGTATCATGTTTGGATTGAAGCCCCGTTTAGAGCCTATAGCTCTTTTACACGTTGCCCAACATCTATGAGCTTTGTTTGCTCTTTCCTGGATGTGGTCCCTCCAATTAAGTTTTCTATCTAGAATCACACCCAGATATTTAACCTTATTGGAAATATTGATTGTCCTGTTCAGGAAAACCGGTTCCTCGAGAAGACCCAGAAAAAGGATCTGGTAAATAGATATATCTCAGTTTTTTTCGGGTAGACGTTGAGACCTCTCGGTCTAGCCCAGTTGTATGCAAGTTTCAGAGCCGACTCGGCCCTTCTGCACAGTAAGTTAGGGTTCTTTCCCCTCAGAAGTATTATAACATCGTCTGCATAGCAGACTGGTTCAAAACCTTCGTTGGTTAAAATCCTTAGGAGGGGTGATAATATCCCTCCCTGTGGAGTCCCTTGACCAACTTTGTCCCTTATGATAACGTGTAATAGCCCACAACTTATCCATCTATTCCTTAGCATATAGTTTATCTAGTCCCTTAGGCCCTTGTCGACCTGAAAACTATCTAAGGATTGGATTAGTGTCTCCGTGCTGACGTTGTTGAAAGCGCTTCGACGCAAACTTTAGGCACGCGTTGAAATAACGTCCACTTCCTTTTGGAGCAGAGCCGGGAAGACCATATCTGGTCCCGCTGTCTTAAACGGTTTGAAACTTTTGATGGCTTCTTTTACCATCGATTCGTCAATTTTTGGTGCTTCCTCCGTCACATTCCTTCTATCTTCCGATGTATCCACGTTTGTCGTGACGCTCGGTGGGAAGTGTGTTTTCATCAATAGCCCTAGGGTTTCTTCTATTGTTTCCATCTTGTTACCCATATCATCCACTATTGTCTCGGCTTGTGTATGGGTTTTTGAAAGAAACTTTTTTATTTTTGAGACATCATTCACGCTTTCAACCTGTTCACAGAAAAGCTTCCAGGAATTTCGTTTAGCTGTTCTGACTACTTTGTTGTATTCTTTAAGTTTATTATGGTAGCTGTCCCAGAATACTGCCAATTTTTTACGTCGACCTCTGTTGTAAAGCCTACGGACCTCCTTTCCTTTGTTACGAATATCCCCTGTCATCCAGGGGTTTTCATAGGCGGATTTCCTCTCTCGAAGTGGACAGAATTCCTCGAAAGACTTTACTAGGGTCTCAGTTAAGCTATTAACATCTCTGTCTATGTCATCTATGCTTAGGCATTCATTTTTACTCTGCCCTAGCCTTTATCTAACTAGTCTCCCATACTTCATCCAGTCAGTCTTGGATTTGTTCCGGAAACGTATTGGGTTCGGCGGCGGCCGTGTTAGTTCAAATCGTATATACCTGTGATCCGAGAAAGAGTGCTCTTCCGAGACTCTCCAATTCTGGATCTCGTTCATAAGATTCTCTGAACAAAAAGTGATGTCTAAAACCTCCTCCCTAATTTTGTTTACGAAGGTCGCTTTATTCCCAATGTTAAGAATTGTTAGGTCATTAGTATTTAGATAATTTAGTAGGGACTGGCCCCTTTTGTTAGTGTTAGTACTACCCCACGCAATGTGATGTGAGTTAGCATCGCTACCTACTAGTACTTCGTTACATGTTTGTTTTGTTTTACTCACCAGCCGCTGCAGTTCCGACGTGGGGGGTAATGTCGGCGCGTCGAACGGTAGGTTTACCGACGCCAGGTATATGTTGCCATTCCCCTGCCTCAGTACTGTTGCGTCCGATGATGACATCTCTGGGGAGAAAAGAAAGCATAAATTTTTGTGACATATTATACAAGTTCTCGGTCGAGACCCTGTGTTAGCATAAAACAGTTGATAGTTAATATGGTTTAGTCCAGAGACCTCGTTCT